GAGGAAGGGTCCAGGTTCATTTTGCTCCTTGCCATTTCTCCAGCTTGCCTGACATGGCACACTGGCACCCACCCAAGCGGGTCATACCCCAGCTCGCTGCTTGTGAACTCTCACTGGGGACCTTGGTCACCCCAAAGTAGCTACAGCAGAGAAGTAGGTAAAAGGTAAAGCCTGCCCTTAAATATTTCCCAGATAGCCAAATAGCTAGCCATGGTTGATAGGCACACAGGGGAGGAAGTGAGAGAGTATCATATACTGTTAATAAGAGGGCCGTTACAGTGAGGTGGCACTTGCCACGGAGCCTAACAACTTAAGATGGACTCCCCAAAACCACACAGTGTGAAGAAAGAATCAACCCTCCAAAGTTGTCCTATCATCTCTGCATATAAAACACAGTGTGTGAGCCTACACACACACACACACACACACACACACAGAGAGAGAGAGAGAGAGAGAGAGAGAGAGAGAGAGAATAAATAAATGCAATAAAAAATAAGAGCATGAAAGTGTTACATTGGTATGGAAGTCATATGGAGGATAGAAATGATGATCACCAAGGGTTCAGGAAACACCCTTCATCTTCAGTGTCATTTGAGGTGCTTTTTGAAAGACTAACTAGGACTGTACCAATCTGGGAGGTAGGTGTGACTTTCCAAGGAGCTGGTTAGAGGAAGAAAATTCATAGCCCCAAGTGTATTGGTAGATGGCAGAGCTCAGGGTTGGGGAGACATAGGCAGGTGCCCTTGTAGCTGCTGTGCTACGTGAAAGCCTTGCAGTTCAGTGAAAGGGTCTGAAAACCGAAGGCTTTTGGAGAGAATGAGGAGAGGGTGAGCCCTGCGCATGCCTGACGGGGTTGCAAGGTTGAGCGGAGGGGTATGAGCACCAGCCCTAGTGGGTTTCATATGCAGTACAGGATTTCCAGCAGGTCCTTCTGGAAGCCTCTGGTGGGTGGTGGGGCTGGTCCAAATGCAGAGAAACAGTCAGGAACTCAGATTCCCAAGTTTATAGATTGCGCCAACATTTGACATTCCCAGGTTCTTGTCTCTCTGTGTATAAAGCCCAGAGTGATAGGACACCTGCTCTGCTTGGCTGAGGTGAATCAGGCTGCATGCATGTAGCAGCCCAATGTTCAATGCAACCCCCACTCCACAGTAGGAAAGTATGTATCACCCAACCAAAGGAGAGGAGTCGCGTAGTCAAAGAGGCAACCAGACAGGATCAGCTTCTGCCTTTGCTTCTTAAGTTGTTTTTTTTTTTTTTTTTTTTTTTTTTTTTTAACAGCTGTAGCAGTTCCCAGTACCATAATCACACAGCCTGTGGGTGGAGGAAGCCCCTTCTCACCTCACGTGGCTTCCTTGGGAACCAGAGAACATTTCCCTAAAGCCTGTCAACAAACCCATTCTGACTTGACCCCAGACAGTGTGGTGTGTGGAGCCACTGAAGACTTAGTTCATTCTCACTTGTCCTGAGCAGCCAAAGTGAGGGCTTTTTGTTTCCTCATTCCCTCCACTGTCTGCCTTCCCCTTTCTCTGACATTCACCTCAATCACCAGGTGACAAGGCTGACTCTCCTTACCAATACACTGTGGCATGAAAGGCTCATTCCAGATTTATCACCAGACAGCTGTTTTGTTTTTTTTTTGAGTTTTATTCACTGTTATTTGCATGCGCATGTGCATGCGTGCGTGTGCGTGGGGGGGGGCAGGGGGATGATGTTGTATACATATATCAGCATATTTTATTAATATGGCACATGTACAGAGGTCAGAGGGTAACACTGTACAGTTGATTCTCTCCTACCTTTATATGAGTTTCAAAAATCGAACTCGGGTCTCCAGGCTTCAAGGGGCGCTTTTACTGGCTAAACCATCTCGCTGGCTCCCAGCTGAGCTTAAAATTCATCTTTAGAAACTTAACAAGATGTGCGTCCCCCAAAGCCCAGGCTTACCAGCCTGTACAGAGGAGATCATGGTGTCAGTCTTTTCCATTACTAGGAAAAGAGACAGAAGTAACCAGTATAAACACCCTAATTCTAGAAGTTTCTGGGAGACGCAGGCTAAACTCTTTTTCCAGAAGGGCAATATCTACCTAGGGTTATCTACCTTTTAAACCCAATGTGGGTATCCAAACTGAAAGTCCCAAAAGACGGACAAGAAGACGCCACGGTGGCATTTTTGAGCTACCTCTTCTGTCTCCACTTTTCTAGAGACTAGATACAGGCCCCCCACTGTACAAACACACACAAGTGACAGCAACTGTAAGTGTTTATAACAATGTGCCTATCGACTTCTTATTTCAGTAGATATCCAGATTTATTATCCCTCAAGGTAAGCATCGATTTTACCTTTGTCTCCGTCAATATTTACCTCTGAGGTCAATATGCATGGGTATTCACCTCCGCTGCAGTCAATAGCCACTCCGTATTACCATATATGATGCTCGTATGTGAAATGAGGAGCCGTGTGGTATGAAATAAATGTTAGTCAAGGATGCTTCTGGAAAAAGGAATTTATTTCTATTTCATTTGAATACATTTTGGCTGTTTAAGGGTCAGGTTCTATTTCACTTGGTCAAAAATGGGTGTTTTCCACTGCAGGCTGGGGTCTGGGGAACACTGACCATCCAAGGCAACACTTACCAATATAGGGCTAGAGGCAGAACCCTGCGAACTCCCAAATCAAACTATAGCTGTAAGACTATGTGTGCGACAAAAGGACACGAGTGTGAGCACGCACATGCTCAGGACATGGAATTAATTCTCTGGTGTGCAGGAGCTGAGTAACTGATATAAGAGGGGGAAGATGGGGAGGGAGGGTCCTTGCCTTGCTTTTCTGCTTTTATGACAAATCGGGAAAGGAAGCCTGGTGTCACATGGCCTGGTTAGGGGGTGAAAGCATGTGCCAGCACACGTGGCTGCTGATAAGGGCCTGGCTGTAGCAGTCAGTCTTGTCCTCTTGTTTGCATGGATGTGTAAGCATGTGTAGGTGCCTGGGTACGTAGGTGCAGTGGAGGTCAGAGATCAACCTTGGGTGTAGTTCCCCACTGTAGCCGCCGCCAATCCCTGCTCTCTCACTAGGGGCCACACCCATCAGGCTAGGCTGTCAGGTCCTAGCTCCAGGTTAAAAGCACACAACACCATTTCCTGCTTTATGTGTGGGATCTGGGAATCAAATTCAAGTCTTCAACCGTGGGGCAAGCTGATCTATCTCTCCATCCTGGCTTTTGTTATTGTTTGTTTGTTTGTTTTGTTTTGTGGTTTTGAGACAGGCTCTTGTGTAGTCCAGGCTGGTCCCAAACTTGCTGTGTTGTCAGGTGTGACCTTGAACACTTGATCCTCCTCCTCCTCCTCCTCCTCCTCCTCCTCCTCTTCCTCCTGAGTAGTAGGATTACAGGTGTGATCGACCACACCCAGTTTAAGTGTACTGGGGATTGAACCAGGTGCATGCTAAGTAAGGTAAATTTATAGTTGTGCCCATGTAGCTATCATGGGCACAGGCTGCATCAACCTGGGCCACACTGCCCATCCTAATTCTTTTGGATTTCACTTATTATTGCAATTTCAAAATGTTTATTCATTGTTGTGAGTTCATGATGTGTGTGTGTGTGTTGTGTGTGTGTAGAGATAGAGGACAAATTTAGTTTTCTCTGTTTATCTTTGTAAGGGATCCTGGGAAGGAATGCAGGCCCCCAGGTTTGCACAGGTGTTTTTACTCACTAAGCCATCTCACTGGCCCTGGCTTGCTTTTGTGTGTGTGTGTGTGTGTGTGTGTGTGTGTGTGTGTGTGTGTGTATGTGTGACTAGTATTTTATCTGCCCATCATCTTTCCTGACACGACACTCAGATACTATACTATTTTCATTGTTTGGTTCTCTTTTGTGACACACCTGTCTCCCTCCTTGTGACAGAGACCATGCCATGAAACACAAAACTACAACCATTCCTGCCAGACTTAGTGATCTGGGCTAAGTATGACCAAATGCAGCGCTTGGTCCCTGCCCTATGCCTGACTGAAGGATGAACATGCAGCGAGCCATAGCAGGGAATCCTCCCAGAGACTCCAATCCTGCAGCACCATGGGAGTTTTCACAGACCTATGCCCTACCCAACTCACATCCTGGCGCTGCTTTGTAGTCATGTCTTCCCAGGCAGCACAAGGGAAGGTTGTCTATTGCAGGAAGAAAAAAAAATTAAAAAATGAATGGAACTGACACAGAAAGAGAATCGGAGGAGCAGAGATGGGGCCGAGACAGAGCCAGCAAAGGTGACGGAGGGCTAGAGACATTCGGGGCCCTTGGGATGACTGCTTCATTCATTTTTTTTCTCCAAGCTGCAAACAAACTAAACCACCCTGGGTTTCTCCCCTGGCAGCTGGAGAGATGGAGCTGCCTCCGAATCCCATTGCCATGTCCAGCTGTGTAATCAGAAACACTGCGGAAGTCTCAGTCTCCTTTCCCACCGAATGGGAAAAGATCAATCTGATGATGAGATTCGACAGTGCTCATAAAGTCCCCAGCAAGAGCTTCATAACGGTACTTCCAAACGTGCCCTTCCTCTGTCTTATTAATGCCCATCCTTTAACCTGTCCTCAGCTTTAGCACTTGGCATCCTTGGGGCCTTTTTAACCCCATATATGAAACTAACCCACGGACATCTCTGTATGCAAGGATTCATTTTACCCCACACAGCATGCAAAGGCAGTTGCTGAGATTTCCCTAGACAGACTCTCCTCCTCTGCGATCAGCCACAGCAGCAAAACCCAAAACCAGTGCATCCTTATGCATATGCACTGGCAAAAGCCTGACCTCTCTGAGTGCTACCTGGCTCTAGACACAGAAGCCCGAGGAAGGCTATCCTAGCCTTTCAGCCTGGTTAGTCTTGCCGCATGAAGTTGATTCGGCCCAGCATCCATGGTCCAAAACTCGTAAGGAAAGTCCAAACCCCGGGCATGCCACAGCCCACTATATGTGGACACGGCTTTAACATCCCCACCTCCTTTCCTTTCTGTTGCCCTAAGAGGCTGATATTCCCACTGCATTTCTGTCTTCCACTTGTGAAGGAGCCCTGGATATCACATGCTCAGTGCAAGATCTAATTTGCACAGGCCACCCTTGGCTCCTTTGTCCCCTTTACAACTCAGGCTATCCCCAACTTGACACTTATTTAAAGTGTTTATTTATTTATTTGGCATTCACACAACTCCACAGCCCCGTTCCCTTGGGATGTAAATTAAAGCAACTTCATTTCCATAGTTTCTCTGTTCCAAATCCCCCATTGTTTATTTAAATAGCAGCCGATGCATCTTGCAAGTAAGGAATGATAATTAAGGGAAGAAGAAGAGTGGGTCTCTCAGGGAAGCCGAGATTTCATTTCACTGCAACCCCAGCCTCACTGTCAAAGAGCTAGTGCCCAGGGAGCTAGAGATGTCTGGAGGGGAGGAATGCTTCATCAGAAGGCTTGAGGCTTGACGTCGGGGCCTGCTACAGGAGCTCAGCCACCAAGGGTGTAGGCATGTCCTTCACTCCCATCATGGCCACCAAAGTAGAACTGGAATTAGGTAGAAGAGTCCCAGAAGGCTGGGAAACTCCGGGTTCAGAGATACCGCCACGGCAACGACAACAGAAAATGTGTCCTTTTCTCCTTGCTGACCCCGGAACCAGAGCCTGTCCTTTATCATAGGCTTCTCGGTGTCTCTCATCTGTCATACACCCAGGTGGCCGTCACAGGACCTCCCTCCAGCAGAAGAGTGTTTTTGTTGGGACCATGAACAAGGGCAGGCCACGCCTTTGCAGAAAAGGCATTCTCTCACTCCTTCCTGTGGCTGTTTCCGAGGCTGCACGTCTCAAGAATGAGGTCCTTAATTTACCCTTTTCCCCACTCAGACCCCCTAGCAGGCATAAGCAGGGTCCTTCACACTGAGCAGAGAAGAGCCACCTCCTCCTGACAAGCCAGTGAGGTGACCTGATGCCTTAACCCAGTCCAAGTGGATGGGTTGCTGACCCAAACCTGAATGCAGTAACTTCAAACTTCAGTGTTCGAAGGGTGTCATGTGTAGACTAAGAGTGTTTGTGTCGGGCAGGTGATGGTCCTCCATTTAGGGACATGAGCAGTTTTTCATTCTTTGTTCTTTCTGATCCTTTTTCATCAAAGTGTTCTGTTTATGGCCTTGTTTTACAAGGGTCACTTGTTAGGGTCATGGTCTCTTGAGAACCTGTAACATAGAGAGGAAGGTATGTGTTGACCAAGATTAACAAAGTTATGGTGGGATGTGGGATGGTACAGGGAAGCCAGAGGATCCCAGGGCAGGAATAGCTAGGTGCCTCTTAGATGTTAATATAACTTCCAAATTGAGATTGGTGGGAACACAGAGATGAGGAAGGACAAGCCAACTGAAGGGCAGGTGACAAAGCTATGGAACTTCCCTGTGTGAAAGTCCAGACTGTGTCATTAGAAGTCCTAGAGGTAACTCAGCCAGGAGTTATCTAGGGCCTAGAAGGAGGAGGACAAACGCTGCTGAATGCAGAGAGCACAGAGAATGCACACCCATCAAACTAAGATCGTAAGCTCAGCAGGAGTCCGGTGCCTCTGATCTTTCCACTCTGATCTCAGCAGTGCTGATGGCTAGCTTTGAGGGGTGGGGATTCCACACGCCATCAGTCTAATCTCAAAGCATCCCACCCCTCACCCCCACTGCCTCTAACACTGCCCTCAGTAGACATGTTGCCTGAGCTGTGCAGATGCTGTTAAAGACAGATCCCCTCCATCCTCAGCTTACCATCCCTTCCGCTCTGAGTTCTTGTGCCTTGTTCTCCCAGAGCATGCTGGTTCTGGAGTTGCCAGTTCACCTTGGGAGTCAGCAGGCGCTCAGTGGGGTGGACCGAAGTCCCTGTGAGCTCCTATGAGACAGGGCCTATTTCATTAGCTTCTCACTTACTCATGGATTTCCCTTTCTTCCTTCCATCCTTCCGTCTATCTAACCCTGCTTCTGTTGGTTTCTCACTCCTTCATGTATCTATCCATCTGTCCTTTCATCCCTCTGTTTCTGTTTCACTTGCTTTCTCCCTCCTTTGGGTATCCATCCGTCTATCCATCTGCCTATCAGATACTATTAGTCCCAACTGTAGGCCAACTGCTGCACTTCCTATTGTATGCACTGCTGATTTATTCATTTGGACTCAGTGTTGATTTTTATTTTATTTTATTTTTTACATCCTGCCTCCTTTTTGTAGATGGCTCTTGCAGGTATTAGGACAGTCTTTCACAGCGCACCATTTTATAAGAAGCACCCGGGTGTACCATCAAGCCTTCTCCCCCCAGACCCCACCACACACATTATTTTGTGGGGTGACCTATTTTAAGAAAGATTTTTCTGGCACCCTTTAAATTAACATCATTACACTCGCTTTATTTATTTTCCTCCCATCTCTCATGCTTTTAGCCTTTCCAAACACCTACACTGTGGTGTTACAATGATCTTCCACCTCGTGACTCAGTTGTCCATACTTGTTTATAAGAATCACAATATATGAGTTTATAATATATATATTTTTTTTCCATAAATATACCAAATGTTTGCCAAGTTTCACATGCCCCCTCCTTATTTTCCTTTTTAAATTCAAAAATTTCTAGTTGTGTTTATTCTCATCGTCAGCATACTTTATCATATCAAAGCCTTTTCAGGCTCCGTAGAACTACTGAGTTATGTTTGGGTCATGTTTTGCGGTATGCCCTTTAATACTGTAGCTTTAGAAATGCAATTTTCAGCCTCTGCTTATTAGAATATGATAAAGTATTCCCGGTCTATGTCCAGCTCCACTAATCTCCAGACTGCGCTTCATGAATTAAGCATGAAGATTTTAGTCAATGTGCTTTCAAAGACCAATGTTTAGGGAATCATGGATTTTCTACAAGCTGAGGGGAAAATCTATAATAGGAGGAACTGATTTTCAAACATCATATTCCCAAGAAGAAATGTCCAGTTCTGGCCCAGAAACAGAAAATGTTTTGCTATCAGAATATTCTAGAACCAGTTAAGACCACATTGTGCCGGTTAGTTTATTAAAGGTATGGTGTTTTAAAATGTGTAAGACTATCTATCACGCAGGAGGATTTCAAAGGCCAGCTTATTTTGGAAAAGCTCATTCAGATTGGACTAACATCAAGGGGAGAATGCAAATTGAATTTGTAAGGTATTACTAACTCCCCCTCTTCCCCTCCACCACCCCCTCCCTGCATGTCTTGCTTCTTCTTGCTTTATATGCTTAGCCACTAGCCAGAGATCTCTTTGCAGGGTGAGAGACCCCCCTTGGAGAGACTTAGACCATGCACGTAGGTAGACCTTGGAGAAGCTACCCTGCAGGTAGACTGCATCAGAGACTACCATGTGATTCGGGCTTCGGTTTTACCAGGAAGCCAACATTCAGCATCACCATGCTGGATGACAAGGAGGCATCTCTCCAGGAAAACGCAGAGGCAATTGAGATGCAGGAGAACATCTGGAATGAGCACCCAGATGTTCATGGCAGCCCTGCTGTCCTGGTGCTGTTTGATGAGACTGCACTTGGCTCCCTGATAGTTACCTTCATGATCACTAATACATTTCACGTGAGGGGGACGACGACGACAACAGTTCTTCCAGGCTTAGTTATGCATGAATGTGTACATACACACATGTGGAGGTCATCCACCCATATGATCACCTTTGGAATTCCACGGTTTTTTTTTTCTTAGTAGCCTAGAGTTCACCAAGTAGGGACACTAGCAAGCCATTGGTAAGTCCCAGGGCGGTAAGTCCATCTCTGACTCCCCTGGCCTGGAACTAACCATGCAAGATTTCTTTTAAGCATGAGTTCTGGGGATCAAACTCAGGTCAGCTTTACCAAATCAATTGTCTCCCCAGCTGTTATTGGTACCTTTCATTGGACATCTTTTTTACGTGGCTTTTTCCTATACCGTTGATCTCAGCAACTCAGTCATATCCCCACTTCCTACCATGGCAGCTGAGGCTTGAGGAATTCCAGTCAGCTTCTTAGGCCACTGGAACGGGGTAGAGTTAATGTTTGCTGCCAAGATTTGTTGGATCCCCGAGTTAAAACAGCGAGGCCCTGCTTGAAGGTTCATGGACGCTGCTCCAGGCTTGGACGGTACCAGATAGGAATGTGGGCATAGCCTGCAGCTGGGAAGCTCTGCTCAGCCAGAATCCAGTGACCACTGATGACAATGCATCCTCTTCTCCAATACAGAGATCAAGACAAAAATGTAAATCATCTCCAATTAGGGGGCTGCGGCTGAAACATCCCGCTTTTGAGGAAGACAGGAAAATTCTCGGCTTGTCTGGCTTTATCTGTGAACCCACAGGATCTCTCAGGGGCTTTAAATTAATCAATCAATCCAAAGGCATTGAACTGAATCTCTACCTCTGGTCTGGAGACTTTGAGATGTGTTTTAAATGGAAAGGAAGCAAAGGGCTGGCTGCCTTGCTCCCGCATAGCCCAAGGCTGCCTGCCCTGGCTGGGGAATTGGCAGTCAGTTCAATCACATGGCCCCTCTGACTGGTGTTTTTCACTAAACTGACCCCAGTTGCATGTAGACACGGTCTCTAGAGAGGGACATCATCTCCTTTCCAGCCCTCACCGTTTAATCGTTCCTGACACAGTTTTACCAGAAACGCAGCAAAACCCAGCCCTGTCAATCAGTGTTTGCTCCCGAGTGTCAGAAGAGCACCTTGAGACACAGGTGCACAAGGGCACGTCCCTAGACATCCGTGTTAGGAAGTACACAGCACAGACAGTGTGGAAAAGGAAACTGTGGCCCCATTGTAGCAGGGGATACTGGAACTTTTTAAGTTCAGTCCACAGATGCTCTCAGAATAATGTCCATTCCAAGGAACAGACTGACTGTCGTATAAGTGACAGTTGCTGAACCGTAGCCATGTGCAGATAGAGGGCAATGCAGCCGGCACCTGGAGGTTGACTGTACACGTGGGTCGGGAGAAGCTGGTGGGTTCTCAGACAGGAGGCCAGCGCTGTGGCTGCGGCCCTCTGTTGCAGCAGTTCAGGTGTTTTAGGCGAAATGGTGGACAGAGGGTGCGTCTCAGTGCTGGAGCACACTCTTGAGTCTTTAGGGTCTGGGGTCAAGGAAGAGAAAGAGGGACAGGCTGGGGAGAAAGCCTGTCTCTATCCTCAGGCTTTATATGTGAAGCCATGCCCACTCTCAGGGCTAGAGTATGATCTGTTTCTTTCTTTTTTTTTTTTCATGCTTATTTGTGTCATTTTGTATGCATGCGCATATGCTACAGCACACAGATGGAGGTCAGAGGGCAGATTCCAAGGGTGTTTTCTCTCTCCCTTGGTCAGGCAGGGTCTCTCTGTCTCTCTTGTTTCTGACCCTGCTGGAACTTCCTCATAATCCCGTCTTTGCCTCTCCTCTGCCTCCCATTCCCTCTTAGGAGTAGTAGGGGTAGAGATGAGTGGTTCCACACCCAGATTTTTGTGTGGGTTCTAGGGATCGAACACAGGTTGTCAGTTCTGAGTAGCTAACGCTTTTACATGCTAAGCCATCTTACCGGCCCCTGATTCATTTCATTTCAACCTTGTATGGGCCCAACGTCTGTGCTCAGGGAAGGGAAGACAGGGGCAAGAAGGCAGCTGGTGACCTCTCCCCGGGGAACCAGCATCTTCATCCTGTTTAGCCAAGGACTAAAGAGGAGGTAGAGAGTTGGCTTCGTCATTGGCAGCTAGTCAGTTTCAGCCCTGAGACTAGAGTCTTCCAGATTGGCAGGTAACTGCTGGTACCAGACAAAACTGCACTAAAACCAGAGCAGACGGTGAGACAGGAAGAGCATGAGCTTCTGGACATAGCACCTGGAGAGGGCGCTGGACCCCGAATCCTCTGATCAGCGACTGTGGGGATGAGTGTTCAGCCTCCCGGCACAGTAGTGTGGAACAGACCTACAAAGAAAGGATCACTGGGGGGTGATCTGAGCCCCGCCCTGGAGCTTTGGGAAGGACTCTATCCTGTGCTGCAGCCATCTCTGTTGAAATAGGAGCGGCGGGGCTGCGTCCCTGGCACCCAGCCGCCCGCATGGCTAGGTTATGCCCCGAAATAATTACACGGAAACTGTATTCTTTCAAACACTGCCTGGCCCGGCTAGTTCCAGTTTCTTATTGGCTAGCTCTTACATATTGTTCTAACCCATTTCTAATATTCTGTGTAGCCCACGAGCTGGCTTACCAGGGAGGATCTTAACCTGCGTCTGTCTGGAGCGGGAGAATCATGGCGACTCCTTGACTCAGCTTCTTTCTCCCAGCATTCTCTTCTGTATACTCCACCTACCTAATTTTCTGTCCTATGAGGGCCGAGGCAGTTTCTTTATTATTACAAGACCCACCTCCATCACATCTCAGTCCCGGCAGGGCCATCTATGGCTCTGAGCAGACTTAGGAATAGAGTAGGACCTGCTTCTAGAAGCTCCATCAGATGTAGCCAGCAGCCTCACTGTCCAGGCTCCCAGCTGACTGGATGTCTTGAGTATAAAACTGACCCTCAGGACTCAGGGAGGACCATCGACAGCCACTGCCCTCTGTTCTCTCATAACTGCTAGGGGACGGGATGGGGGGGGGGGCTGTCTCTGAATCAGCCCACCCTTTCTGTCTTTATCACCCACCAAATACCTCAAATCTACCTCACTGTACTCAACGGATGGAAACAGAGCCATCGTTCGCCTCTTGGGTGTTAGAAAAAAGGCAAGTTTCAGCTTTGGGTTTCCTGAACAACTAAAGTAGCCTCCATGGGAGAGATCAGCTCAGCTAAGCTTTCCCCAGAAGAGTAAAAGACAAAAATGATGAGGAGCACTCCCTTGCTGTCCTTAAAGGAACACAGAGAAACTGTGAGGGGGAGAGAGTGGACCATGTTATTTCCAAGTCATCCACACCCCTCCCCAACCTTTCTAAACTTTTCTCCCTTTCTAGAGGAAGGAATAGCTTTGCCTATGGTGTGCAAAATATATACCTTCTAATGTTAATCAAGAAGCTCTTACTACCCAGCAAGAACACGCTAGTGTGTTAATTGATAGAATTTGTCATGGAGAATATTCATAACCGGCAAGCAGCCTTTTCTTCAGGAGGAACAAAGGATTAAGTTGGGGAGACTATAATGGTATCGTTAGCAGGCTATTGCAGCGATTTTCTTCTCAGAAGAGTAGAGAAAGGTGAAATTCCAGCTGGGAATATTAGACTATGCAGAGCACCACCCAGGGGCATTGGGCTCTATCTAAAATGCCGAGCCCCGTTTTGCCTTATGATCCAATTGTTTTATTAGCGAGATCATTGCGTGTTTCATTTTGCTACAGTAATAGCGCAGCGTCTGTCTAACAATAAATTATAGAGTCAGGCAAACAATGGTTTTGTATTTGGGATAACAATGAAATATCTTATTAAAATGCAGGCCTCCTTGGGTCCCTGAAATTAGAGTCTTATTTGAAAGTGATTCCTCTGGGCTTAATTCACTGGTTTGAACTAATCACGGTAAGAGAGTCGCTCTTTTGTCAGGACACAGAGGTACTGGGGACGGTACCTGTTTTCGTAGGATTTTCCCATTCCTGTTTTATCCTCAGATTCTCTAACTACGGAGATCTTCTGGGCTTGACAATGAAAGGCACCGTGTGAGGAGCTACATCCCTTAGCATGCAAAAGACAAATTGAGATCTCAGGCAGACGTGTGTTTCCTGCCAGGTTTCTTCAAAAAGATACTGGCTCTGAGAATCAGCATGTTAGCAATAGGGAAAATAGTAACAAATGTGGATGGGGCTGTAACAAGCACCGTACTACGGCACCTGAGCAAGGTGAAGTGTATCACATGACTTTTTAAAAGATTATTTTTTTTATTTATGAGCATTTGTATCTCTGTGTTAGCATCCTCGTGTGTGTGTGTGTGTGTGTGTGTGTGTGTGTGTGTGTGTGCGCGCGCGCACGCGCAGAAGATATGGTGCTCAAGGAGGCAGATAGAAGGCATCAGATCCTCAGAAGCCACAGTTACAAGTGGTTGTTGTGAGTCCTCTGATGTGGATGCTGGGAACTGAACTCTGGTCCTCCACTCTCCAGCACTTGGTCACACTGTTTTACCTTGTGGGTCCACAGTATCCTTTTTCTAGCTGAGAAGACAGAGGCTTAAAGAAACAATTCCCCCGAGTCCTGTAGCTTGGCAATTGTGAGTGCTGAAGGCTCCATCTCTGTGGTTGATCCCAGGGTAGTTTTCGCTTGTCAGTGCTGAATGGTTTTGTCTTCTCCTCTCCTGAGGAGAACCTTTCCGTGTTCGTGGATTCGGTGAGGTTTAACACTCTCAGCCACACAGCCGGTTCAGATTGTGAAGTGTGGGGGTGGGGGTTAGATAGCTGGACCATACTGCTTTCTCCTCTGCTGTGGAGACAGGCTCCTCCTGGAACCAGGGCTGACCTCACTCCGGTGACGTAGCCGCGAATGACCTTGAACTTCTGATCACCAGTCTCCCACTGAGTGTTGTGACCACAAGCTTGAGCCACTGCGCTTAGTTTATGCTACATTAAGGGTTGAACCCTGGACTTCGTGACTGCTAGGCGAGCATGCTACCATCTGAGCCTCTTCCAGCTACATCCTCAATCCCTTTTTACCAATCCCAGTTTATCAAGTTCCACCTGACTTCATGCTCCATTTTTCATGTTCCGGCCTCACCTCATGACAGCCTCCTGCCTTGCTGTGGGGTGTGGTTTGGGACAGGACTGCTATTTTCAGTGCCCAGGTGTGGCACTGGTGACGTGGAGATGAGGGCGGCTGCTCTGGCCTGCCTGGTCATTGTAACATTACATTGTCCTTGTAACAGCCTTACCTGCAGAAACTCCTTTCTTTATAGCATTCTTGATTCAAATGCCCAGGTAACTTGGCTGGTTATCCTGGTTGGGATATTCAGGGACCATGTGCAAGCCAACACCCTGATGGAGTAGCTATTGCTTTGTTTTCTGTGTTCAGACGGCCATGGCTGAGAAAGAAGTTGAAGTGCCTACTTTTCCTTGTGGACTCAGCAGTGTGGCTTGATCGGGCAGTTCTGGCTGGCTGGGCGGAACTCTTGCTCTTATTGTCAGATGCCTTTGTGTTAGGAGACACACTCTTTTCAGAGGAATGACCCGGCAGATTAAGGACATTGTTCACCAGTACACAGTATACTTAGACTCTGTGGTTGTCAAAGTAACTAACAGTCCACAACCAGTCATTAGAGTTTCTTGAATGAAGTCAGAATTGGCATCTGAGCTATTATTAACACTTAAGTAACTTAAGTAAGACCAAACGCACAATTCATTTAAACTCTGTCTGGCTTATATTATAGTTCCCTGTTTTTCCACTCAGTAGCCCTTTGAAAAGTTGGAAGCATTTAAACGTTTGTATTGCCGCTAAGTCATTTCTCTTTAGGCTTACATAAGGATGTCCGTCACCATATATACAAGCACGCATGAATTTCTTCTTTGGCTTTTGGAATGTTTGAATGTAGAGCTACATGGTTTTTGTTTTGCTTTGTTTTTTACAAACCGATAATTGAAAAAGAGAGAGAGAGAGACAGAGAGAGAGAAAGACTAAGAAAGAAAACGAGAAAAAGAGCCATATCCTGTCATACTGTCCTCTTCTGTCAAGAAATTCCGTAGCCCCTTCACAGGGGTCCCAAGGACAAAGCCGAGCTCTCTTGACCTGGCAGCTTTAAGAGGCCAGAAGTATGCTGGACTCAGGAAGGACAAGGTGACAGGAAGGAAGCTGGAAATTAGTGGCACCCAGTTGAAGCAGTGAATGGATCCAGAGGCAGAGCCGGCCTGTCAAGCAGAGTGAAAAAGAATGTCCCCAGAATCCCAGGGTTCTTTTTCTCTTTTTTTAAGTAGGGGACGCCATTGTCATTCAGAAAACCCCAGGCTGTTCTGGAAACAAAAAAATCAATAGCCCACTTGTTGAGGGTCAGTGGATTAGCCTGTGCTGAAAGTAAGGCCTTACCTGAGCACCCTCCCACTGGCCTAGAGGGTTTGTTGAGTAGAGAAGACAATTGAAAAGACTGTCCTTACTTGTCCTCAGTGGTAACCTTTGCTGTTGAATTATGTCCAGTGCTCATTTTGTGAGGGACTAATGGGCTTTTGTTTGTTTTTGTCTGTCTGCCCGTGACACGGCAAACTGAATAGAGTTCTCTCTCAAAACAGTCATTGTTCTTGTGGAAGGGCTGCAGGAAGGTGTTGAGAATGGGGAGCGGGCACAATGACAGACAGCTTGGATTATTAAGTAGTTAAGATATAAAGTAATACAGCATATTTAATATCATATAGAGTCACAGAGCCAAGTGTGGTGGCTCACACTTATAATCAAAGCAGCCTGGAGTTTGAGGCCAGCCTGGGTGTTTTAGCTATACTCTTTTTCATATATACGTACAAAAATATCATACTGATTTTTTAATTAAGAATTGTTATATTTTATAAAAATATACTAATATCAATAATAGTTTATGAATGTAGTTTTGCTTTTAAGTGAGATCTCACTCTGCAGCCCTGGCTGTACTACAACTCACTCTGTCACTCTGGCCTTGAACTCACAGAGATCTTTCTGCCTCTGCCTCCCAAGTGCTGGGATTAAAGGTGAGCACCACCATGCCTGGTTTATACGATGCAATTAGAAAAACAGTGACTGGGCTGGAGAGATGGCTCAGTGGTTAAGAGTATTGCCTGCTCTTCCAAAGGTCCTGAGTTCGATTCCCAGCAACCACATGGTGGCTCACAACCATCTATAATGAGGTCTGGTGCCCTCTTCTGGCCTTCAGTCATACACACAGAAAGAATATTGTATACATAATAAATAAATAAATAAATAAATATTTTTTTAAAAAAAACAGTGACTGCCTGGGGCCATCCAGATGGTTTAGCTCCCCAGTTTGTTCCCTGGGACCTACATGGTAGAAGGTGAGAAATGACTCCTTCAAACTGTCCTCTGACCTCCACATGCATACCATGGCTCATGTACACACATACACACACACACACAATTTTAAAATGTAGAGAATAATGATGCTGTTGGATATTTATATGAAAGCTATTTCTCCACTTTTCCTCCCTCTCTCCTTGCCTTTGAGTGGAGAACAGCAGAGTTCTATGAAGGAAAACTTACCTTCAAATGTATGTGTGAAAGGTGTGGATGTTTCAGTCAGTGATGAGGGCTGTCCTCTGGTAAGGCCTTTCACCTGAAGCAATCAGAAGGGTGTCAGTGTGAACTCTTGCCTTGAACTGGCTGAAGCCATCAGGCATAGAACCACAGAGATTGGTTAGGGGGAATTGGGAGAGCAAGGGAGTGTGTCCGGGCAAGGGCGGAAATGCTGGCCTCGAGTGCCCCTTGCAGGTTAGTATCCTCCCTCTCTTCTCAGCGTCTCCTAGTCCCATGGAAGAAGGAGGGCTTAGCATCAGATGGGTCAAGCTCATCTTCGACTAAAGACCCAGGGCTCATAGGGGCCTGTGTGTATCTATGCCCTGTGAAAACATCCCTCGTGCCGGGGCTAGGGAGATCATTCACGCCAGTGTGAGGACCCGAGCTCTATCCCTAGTTCCAGCCACGTGCAAAGGAACACTCTGGGAACGTGACTGTAATCCCAGGGTGGAGGAAGGCGGAGACAGATGGATCTCTGGGATTCACTAGCCAGGCAGTGTAGTCTGCTCAGTGAGCTTCAGGCCAGTTAAAGACTGTCTCTAAACAGTGGAAACAGTGAGCTGGAGGGCACCCAAGGAACAACGCCTGCAGTTGGCCTTTGGCCGCCACCTGCACTCACACAAGTATCACTGGCTCTGAATGAAGAAAAAAATTATAAACCCAGATCCCACAGTAGATAATCCTCTGCGACACAGAGTGGTGTGTCCCATGTCCAGATGGAAATATCTTAGAGATTCCTCTTCGGTGTGCGCGTTAATGTTACCTTAGAGTATCACCTGCAATGTAATACGGCTTCCAGGAGGCTCAAGAGGGCTCAGGGTCTGACTCTGACCCTGCCACAGGCCCTGGCAGACCCTAGCTGACCCCATTGCAGGAAGCTAACATGGCCATGACATTAGGCTACAGAAGATTGCTGCCGTACTGGAGAGTGGCAGGCTCCATCCTGTTTCCTTTTCTTTCAAAGCCCTCTCGTGTGTAAATTCAGTTTGTAACACTACTAGAATCCCCCAAATGCCATAGCTAAATAATTCTGTAACTTTAGCCCATGTTCTTGCCCTGGGCAAGTTGGCTAGAGTCCAGGTTACCTCTACAAAGAGGCACAACCCCTAGGTTATGTCTTTTTCTACCTGCCCCCCAGAGGCTGGGGGGCGTCTCTGTGCAGAACCACACAGAAAGAGTGAAGTGTGGTAAGTTCTCGAGACCTGAGCAGACCCGTACCGTGGAAGGGTCAAAGGCAGGGTCAGAACCTTTCTATCCTCCCGTAAGTTGGTTTCAAAAGGAACAGCCGTTACTGAAGTGCCAAGACCTTTCCCACTTCAAGCTCCTCCGTTAGAGGGCTCTGGACCCAGGGCGGCCAAAAGCAGGGGTCACGTGCCCTCCAGGGCCATCTGGCCCGGGGTATGGCTTCTTTCTTCTTCATCCTCAGTCTTTATAGAAATCATAAATAGTAACGTGGTCTTATTTCAAGATGTGGCCATATGAATAATCTGACCGCTCCAACTTTCTCTGAGGATACTATTACCAGCAATAAAAGTTCTACTTTTTTTTTTTTTAAAGCACCATTGTTTTCTAAGCAAAAGTTTGATACACTATTGCTTATTTGGTTGGTTGGTTTGGTTTTTTTGTAGGCGCCTGTACCGTTCCTGACCACATATCCTAGGTCTGCCAGGCTGCCCCTTTGTAGCTTCCTGGTCACTTTAATTATTAAAGTGTACCTACATTGGGGTACAAGTTTAGTTT